TTCAATGGAACCGACCGAGTCAAGAAGGTGCATCTCTAGACTCTGCGTAGCGAGTTGGAGAGCATGAAGATGGAGTCAGAAAATGTATCTGACTACATCATACGTGTACAGACCGTGGCAAATCAGCTAAATTGAAATGGAAAAATGTTACCCGAGACGTGGGTTGTGGAGAAAATCTTGAGGTCGTTAACAGACAACTTCGAGAATGTCGTATGTGTCATAGAAGAGTCAAAGGACCTGACGAAGTTCACAGTCGATGAGCTTGTCGGTGCTCTCGAGGCACATAATAACGTAAGAAAAAGAAGGTGGAGCCACTCGATCAAGCGCTTCAGACGAAGGCATCCATAGAGGATGAAAAGGCACTCTACTCGCAAAAGTTTCGAGATAGAGGTCGTGGATGTCGCGGGAATGGTCAAGGTGGTCAAGGCAACACTTACGAAGAAAACTACTAGGAGAAGAGACTGTCGAGCCAAGCAAATTGGCGTGGAAGAGGACGCAATCAAGGGCGCGGTCAAGGATACAATTTCAACATCCAGTGCTTTAAATGTCAGAAAAATGGCCACTATGCAAATAATTGTAACTCCGACAGATGTTACAATTGTGGCAGAATGGGTCACTATGCTAGAGATTGTCGAGCCGAAGAAAAGGTGGAAGAAACTATCAACCTGGCCTTGGATGACGCAAGAAGTGGAGACATCCTCTTGATGGCTCAAAATGAAGAGCCAAACACAAAAGGAGACGACGGCGCGAAAGATGATAGCGGTAGTCTTGAGGTGGTAGAAACTATCAGAAATGAGGTGATACGCAGCAGATTTGACGAAATTGCGGTATCGGAGACGATAAAATCGAAGAAGGATAAACGACCAGATAACAGAGAGCCCGAGCTTGAAAAGAGAGAGCTCCAATGACTGGAAAGAAAATTCAAGAAAGAAAGAAGAAAGAGGATGAATATTGAAGAAGAAAAGAAAGAGCTGGAAACAAGAGTTGAAAGGTTAGAGAAAGAAATGGCTGAGTTGAGTAAGAGTTCATTCTATCTAAAACAGGAGAAGGAAAAGAATGAGAAGATAATTTCTGATCTTACGAAGAAAGTTGAAGAAGGTGTGGAGAAAGAGAAAGGCCTGTTCATGGAGATTGAGGGTTTAGTGGACGAGTTAGTGCGGGAGGAGAAAGATATAGAGATATTGAATTAAAAACACACATAGAGAACAGAAAGAAAGAAAAAGGGAAGATCTCAAATGTATTAAATGATTGATTCTAGTGAATATAATAACAAAAATATATCCTCATGTATGAAGTAATTATCAAATATATTATGAAATTATAGTATCTAATAAATTGTATGTTAGTAGACATTGTATTATTAGACATATTTATATCCCAAGAAATATTAAATCTAAATGGAAAGATTAAGAATTTGTTAAAAACTTAACAAAATTTAGGAATTAGAATTACGGAAGGGATTTGGTGAACATCATTAATAGGTGGGAAAAAATTCGAGGGATGAAAGCAAGCTAATTTGAAGTTACATAGAACTTCAGCTAATGCTATCCAAGTGAGTGGTCTTATTATCGACATGGTTATATTTGATATTGACACGTGCCCTGTGGTTCTGCACGTGTCATATATATTGATATGTGAATTTTTTATGGATCGATATGCTTATGATATGATATGTGTATGTTATTGTAACGCCCCTAATTTTCTTAACCTAATTAGTGACGTCACCCATGCCTACATAACTAATTACGCAGAATCTCATCATAAATAACTTTGGTAAACACAACGAAGTCTAGCATAAAGGTCAAAAAATACAAACCAAACATGTCTCCAAGAATAAAACTTTCAGTAACTGAGTTCCGAAAATTCTAAATAAAAACAATGTTCAATGCTTTAACTTAAAACAATCAAATAAACGTAAACTACTAATAATACCCCCTCTTCAACTTCCATGGTGTCTTCAGCTTCACCGTCAACTGTTCATTGGTGCCTTGCCTTTACCTGAAAAATGTAGGTAGCACGTAGCTTGAGTATTTTATGAAATACTCAATAAGTCACCCCACTGTTGGGGTTAGAAATGCAAACACATGCAACATATGAGCGGGACCTAACTTTTTGTAAACTTTACATGGCCTTGGGCGCTTTTCAATTTCGGGTAAGGTTGGATGCGTGGTACTCCTTCACACACGGTCCATGTATGCACACATGGACCCATCAAGTGGGCTCGTATACGTACCCCCGAGGCCTGGCTTGGTCGGGTACAATGTGTTAGGATCGCACAACAATGCACACGCTCGATCTAGATGAACACGAAAAACAGGATAGAGAAAAGTGCAAGGAGAACTCTGGCTAAAAGAATTTTTCTATTGATGACTTCGCGTATGTACAGTAAGAGAGAATTACAGAGAATAGAAAGTACATTCAAAGCTCTACCGGACGGGATATATATATAGTTCAGTTTACTATATATAGCTTTACCAGATTTAACCATTTATAATATATAGCTTTACCCGATTTAACCATCTACTATATATAGCTATTTACCATATATAGCTTTACCGGATATAGCTTTACCAAATATAACCGTTGACCAAGCTATAAATAAGTAGCAGGCTCCATAACCTAACAATTCTCCAACTTGGAGACTGATCTAGTCAACCAAGAATTTCATTCTCAAACGACCATGAGCATCTTCATGGTCTTCATGGCACCATATCAATTGAGGCTTTGCACAACCTCAATATTCCAACATCAACACATTTTGTCAACATGTTTGCTGGATTCTTTGCACCCTCTATCTTCTCCAAACACATCATCATCTTTCACTAACCTGCAAGTGAAATGGAATCGTCTTCTGTATTTTATCTTTAAATGATAGACCGGGTTTCTTCGCCAACTGTATGACACTCTGACTATCTCTGTAAAGAATATCTTCATGCTACTTCTTGCTCATTCTTCCAGATAGTCAGTCATCCATATCGTCTTCTTTCCAGCTTCAACTATTGCCACGTACTCAATCTCAATACAACGCATTTTTGAAGCCTAGACGTCCCATCATCCATGGCTTGCTCCTACTTGGTTGTATCCTCCAACTGTAGGGTCTCATCAAAGGGTTATGGTTCCCTTTCATCAGCAACAAATAGTGTAATGAAGGTACATACATATCTGGTACTCTGATAGTACAGGATGATCTTCTCAACACCAGTTCAGGTGTCACTTGCTTCACTACTGATTCCTCCGCAACAACCCCAGGAGTTTGTTGAGTATCTGCTACAAGATCACTTGGTGATTTTCTCCGCAACTCAACCTCAACTCCCACTTGCTTTGTTGTCTTGGAACCTTGCTCCACATCTGGTTCCTCAGCAGTCGTCTTAGGAGTTTCTTGAGTATCTACTACAACATCACTAGGTTAGTTTCCTTGCAACTCAAACTCAACTCCCACTTGCTTCGTGGTCTTGGAACCTTGCTCCACATCTGTTTCCATTTCCAACTGCACTTTCTTCAATTCTCTGGCGGTCCTTGTGAAGCTAACTCATTTCTGCTTGCTCATAACGTAGTTCTCACAACGACCCACATCAACAGATTTCAGACCTTCTAAAACTCCTTTCGCAGCCAGCCTCTTCATTCCTTTCGCGCTCATAGGTTCATGTCTATTGTGCTGTAGACTTGAATTTGAAGCACTCTCAGCAACAACAGCTATGTTCATACACCCTGCAGTGGTGTATAGGTTCCAGATTTTGAGCCACGTGCTACCACCGTAGCACCCTTCATAATCTTCCACGAACTCTTCCCTAACTTTGTTGCATAACCTGTGTTGTCCAACTGACCAATAGAGATCAGGTTCTTTTTGAGACCAGGAATATATCTGACATCCTTTAATGTCCACTGATTTCCTGCCGGAGTTTTTATGCAGACATCTCATTTTTCTTTAATCTCCAAATCTTTGTTGTCGGCAAGATACATCTTCTCGAAATTTCCAGACTTGAAATTCCGGAACAACTCTTTATTTGGAGACGAATGAAAAGATGCACCTAAATCCAAAATCCAGGATTCAATCGAATTGTCCACGCTGAGGATTAGAGCATCCCCAATGTCTTCTGTTGAATTTATAGAATCATCATCATCTCCAGATTTGTGATTCTGCTTCCTCTTTGGTCTTGTACAACCTGTCCGAAAGTAACCTTTTCCCCCACAGCTCCAACACGTTACTTTGGGTTTGTTTAGAGATTTTCCCCGGTGCTTTGATTTTGATCGCCCATGTTTGTTTGAGCTTTTTGATTTACTTCTTCCCCTTCGATTAACACTAAGAGGATTGCCTGATGAATCTCCAGTTTCTCGTTTGCGAATACTTTTGCTGAGAACTATATCTCGAATTTCACCAAACTTCAGTTTATCAGATCCTCGGGAACTGCTGATTGCGGCAAAAACAGTATCCCATGACTCGTGTAAGGATGACATCAAAATCAACGCTTTAATTTCATCTTCGAAATTAATTTCCACTGAACTCAGTTGACTTATGATCATATTGAATTCATTTATATGATCAGCAACAGGTCCACCTTCAGACATTTGTAGATTGAACAATCTACGCATCAAATACACCTTGTTCATAGCCAACAGTTTTTCATACATATTCGACAGCGCCTTCATCAAATCTGACGTTGTCTTCTCCTTGATGATGTTAAACGCCACGTTTCTGGATAGCGTCAATCAGATCATTCCTAAGGCTTGTCGATCCTTGAGCTTCCACTGTTCCGTGGTCATGGTATCCGGCTTCACCCCCAACAGAGGTTTGTGAAGATCTTTCTGGTACAAATAATCTTCAATCTGCATCTTCCAGAAACTGAAATCGGATCCATCGAACTTCTCAATTTCAATCTTTGAACTTTCCATCTTCACAGATCGTGGTGAATTTCGTCTAGCTGTGATACCAGTTGTTAGGATAGCACAACAACGCACACGCTCGATCTAGATGAACACAAAGAACAGGATAGAGAAAAGTGCAAGGAGAACTCTGGCTAAAAGGATTTTTCTATTGATGACTTCGCGTAGGTATAGTAAGAGAGAATTACAGAGAACAGAAAGTACATTCAAAGCTCTACCGAACGGGATATATATATAGTTCAGTTTACTATATATAGCTTTACCAAATTTAACCATCTACTATATATAGCTATTTACTATATATAGCTTTACCTGATTTAACCATCTACTATATATAGTTATTTACCATATATAGCTTTACCGGATATAACCGTTGACCAAGCTATAAATAAGCAGCCGGCTCCATAACCTAACACAATATATTACACGTCCACAGACACCACAGAACAGAAAGGAGCTCGCATGATATCATGGCGAACATAAATATCGTATTTCATTCCTTCATAACATAAAGGGGAAGTATCTCGATGCAAGTGACATACATATATGCATGAGGTTCCTTAACATACATAACATGACATTACATAAGCATTGCTAACATCACATATACGTTTCTTACATTACATGACATATCACATAACTGACATTACATGACATATTACATAACGTGAAAATACATTCCAGTTTCATATAAGCATTTCATGACATGACTCGATAATACTACATGTATCCATGGCATCGATCAAAATTTTCATGGCATATAATACTAGCAGATCAACTATCTTTTCATAGCATAAACAGTCAACAGTCAACATCATCGATAACTTTTCATAGCGTAAAGAGTCAACAGTCAAGTAAACATAATCCATAACTTTTCATAGTGTAAATAGTCCCATAATCCATACATCATATAGTCATATCACATAAAATATGGTGCATGTAGGGGCCACAGGGCACACACCATCATATAACACTTAGTAAGCTAACTCCAACAGTAAGGTCACTTACCTTGATGACCTTGGCCGAAGTCACTCAGAACAAGCTAATTCAAACGGTTAATTACGTCCTATAGTAACCACATAAAAAAATTTAGGAACCTTTCATAACATACCCTAGCTAAATCTCATGCTATTTATCAAAATAAACTCCCAACGCAATCTATCTTTGACGGTTAGGAATCATATTGACCTCAGATGGTAAAATTAAGGACAGAAACGATTTCAGAAGGGCCGAAAACCTAGGAATCGTTATATTGTGGATACCGGGCCGCTAAGTCGAGCTGTTGAGCTAACACCCAAGCCGACCGCCGATCTGCCGTCGACGAGTCGAGGAGCAATGGAGTCGAGCCAACCTCGTCCACGTGCGAGCCAAGTTGTGAGTACGCGTGCAAAGCTGGGAAAGCGCGCTAGAGGCGTGCGTCTGTTGGATCGGTGTTGGGTCGAAACGCGGCCAGCGTTCATCTGTGGGTTGGGTTAGAGGCTGAACGTGAAACCTGACCCGAATCTGACACGTCATCTTCCTTACCTACCAGACAACGAAACCCTAATCGACGTCGTCGCCTTCTCCGATTCTGACTTCGATGATGGTCATGCAGCACACCTTCTTCGATTCCGATTGCAACCTTCTTCGATGCAGTGCTCCCGACGTCGATACTTCACTTCTACTCCATTCTTCCTCTGAAACAGCAACCCCAATGTTTCGAGAACTAACCAAAAAACTAGCGAACCAACCCACACGCTTTTCCCTCTAACACGCTCGGTTTTCTGTTCTTTCGAACACCCTCAGACATAGAAGGCGAGTTTGAAGAGAAAAAATCATTTTTAAGGAAAGAGAAGGGTTGAACATAGGAATATAAAGGGTCTCATAACGTTTCCATTAAGGTAATAACTTTCTTGTACGAAATTGCGCACTTTTTCTGGCGAAAATAAATGCATGGCATAATATCTTTTCGTTTTTTGAAGCAAAAATAAAATCTAAAAAAAAAAATAAAATCTGAATCCTTGGTAAGGATCCAGATCCACCACCGCTAGCAGATATTGTCCTCTTTAGGGTTTTCCTTTTGGGTTTCCCCTCAAGATTGTAAAACGCATCTGTTAGAGGAAGGTTTCAATGCCCTTACAAATAGTGTTTTGTTCTCCTCCCCAACCAATGTGGGACATCACATGCTTACAGTTATAATATGTGAGTTGTATGATAATACTTATAGTACGATTTATTCAATGATATGTTTGAGATAGGATACGAGAAGGATGCACTAAACGTAATGTAATGATAAGAGTAAGATATGTTCATGAAACGTTAAGGTTAGGTTACGTATCAAAGTGCTATGGATATGAGAGATTGATAAAAACGATATGGTCAAGATCGATTGATAAAATAATATGGTTAGGTTATGGGCAGAAAGGGATAGGATTGTGATAGATTGATAGAACGATAGCGTTAGGATACGTTTCTGTAATTATATGACTAAGGTACGTTCATGTAGCGTCATGACCGTGATAGATATAAGAATGTTAAGGCTATGATACGTAAGGGAACGATATGACCACGAAGTGTTTATGATATGATATGATTATGAAACGACATGTGAATGATGGATATATATATATATATATATATAGATATATAGATATAGATATATAGATATAGGATATGATATGATACATGTTATGATACGAGTTATGTGATAATTGACATGTTTATGATATGATATATTGTGATGCGATATGTTATGGTATGATATGTATATGATGAATTTTTTTTTTGTCTGGAAGCATGAAATGTTATGATATGATATAGTTATGTAATTTGAATGATATGATGTTGATTGACATGCAAAACGGCGAACTAGCATGAAATATAACCCCGATGTATGCATGAAAGATATGATAAAAGATATGTGAAATGATATGAAAAATGATATGATATGTACGAAACTCTAGCGGAGTTGTATTAAATGATAATGAAAATGAAAAAAATGTTGGGATCTCAAGCATTATTGTGTGCTCATGTATTAGGGGATACCCCTTACCCTTCACAATAGTACGGACGCATACGTTACGAGACAGAAAAACGATCATTATGGTTATCATAATGCTGGATGACCAAACAAGAGGATAATCATTATGTTTATCAGAATGTTGCGACGATCAGGCAGGAGAACGATCATTATATTTAACCTAATGCTGCCATTACGGTTACTAGTTCTAACGAGTGTTCGGTCTAAGGAGCTCCCAAAGTATGCTTGCCCGACAAGAAAAATGGCCTAGCGGTGTGCGAACTGACTGGTGAGTCCATACTCGCACGTATGGGCTGTGTGTAGAGTAGTACACATCCAAGTTACCCGTTAGGATAGTGCCGTGGAAAAATAGACTGATATGATAAGTTCCGTCATTGCATTCACATGTTCTTGCTTTTAACCCCCAATAGTGGGGTCACTTACTGAGTATTTCTTTAAATACTCAAGCCACGTGCTACTTCTATTTCAGGTTAAGGCAAGACATTCCTGTACAGCTGATGACGACATTGCAACTCGAGACCCTGACACATGCATAGGATAGTGTATTTATTTTCTTAAACTTAAACTAGAATATGATGTTTTTAATTTAAAAGTCTATTTATTTTATTTAATCTTTTGTTGTGTCATTTTTAAAGGTGTTTTTAAAACACGCAAGTCCATGACTGTATTTTAAGATGAATGTGACGTTTTATGAAAGTTTAAATGAAGTATTTCCGCATTCAATGTTCATGATATTTATACAGTATCGACCTTAAATTAGGTAGAAAATTTTGGGTCGCTACAAAATTAATCCACTCATTTATTTAAAAACAACTAGCTTCTATATCTTGAATGAACTTTCTCCAATCACAAAAATAGCTTGAAATGTTGGGGTAATATCATGACATGATTTACCAGGCTTCGAATCTTGAACCATGAATAAAAAGACAAGAAGAAAGTTAGTCAAACAAAAATAAAAGATGACAATTCGATAAACTTCAAATCAAAATAAAGAATGACAAACACCACAATCACATATAAAACAATTTCAAACTAGAAGAAGGTGCTGTTTAAATTTGTTACCAAGGTGAAGACAAGATCAGAATACAATATGATATAGATCCAGTCAGTAAATGTCATGGCCCAATATTTTACTACCGACCGTGACTAATGACGACACACGAATGCAGAAAATAATTTAACTATGCAATAGAGAAAATTATTTAATTCTAATAAAGTTTTCGAACGACAAACAAACAAAACACTTAACAGCTTAGAAACAAATTACGAAAGAATGCAAATACAAATTAAAGACTGGATTGACGCCCCGGGACAACCCATTCTTTTGTGACAATCCCCGTCTCCATCACGCCTGCCCTTGACCGACGGTTCGCGCTCCTAAAAAGGGAAAACATAGCAAGGATGAGTATAAAAATTATACTCAGTAAGCCACTTACTTGTAGGCTCTCTTCGCATCCTAGCTTAACAGGTTCCCACCGTCTCCTAATTCGGTTTTAGGACATCTAGTTCTAATCTTAGTCCCTTGAAGCTTGCCCCTTGGGCTTCACCGGTTCATCGTCCTTTCATTAGATACCTAAAGGTTCCTTACGCCGAGCTGATACGATCAGTATCTCTCTATGAGGCGCTACCTCTGCATGGCTATTTGAGACTACATGGTATCTAGCTTACGGGTTTGCCGAGTACCTCCTAAGCCCATATAGTCCCCCTATGGGGGGCACGACCCAACCCGTTCCCATGCAGCTAATGGGCTGTATGACGTGGGGACATATTTCCCATGCGAAATGGCTAAGAGTAGTAAGAACTGGTCAGGAATCCTTGGTTCTCCCACGAAGCTATAGATACCGTTTTCACACTAGCCATCTATGAACACTCTCGAGGTACCTTATTGTTGTGGTAATCCGCTAAGTTCCTAGGGGAAGGTTAAGTCTAGGTAGAGCGACTTGCCGCTCCTAACAGCAAATCCCTAAGCTTATCATAGTAATGGGCCATAGAAAATAACAGAGTGTGCATGCAACCCTCGTCTAACATCGTAATATATAATTCATGCAATTTAGCACACAGGCGCAATGGGCGATAGCCTCCATCAAGCACCTAGAACGCGAAGTTCACACTTAATGGGGCAAAGTCATCCATCAAGCACCTAGAACGCAGAACACACAAATCCAACATGAATTAAACACATGCATACGTATAGCGGAAATTTAAAGCATGATCGCACGCTCGGATAATTCACCTAGAACTTCACATAATATAACACATCATCATCTCATAACAATCAGTCATAGGAGGCTACTACCTAAGGCGAATAACTAGCATGCATACAGTCCAAGCGAATCCTACAAGTATTTCTTCCTAAACATCGGGTGGTGACTTACCTGGTTGATGCGTGCCCTTTTGCTAGCTTTTCTATGCCCCTGAGGTGTCTAAAAATATTGATTTCCTTCAATTAGGTCCCTATTCACACAAAAACAGTATTAGAACTGGAATCGGGACAACAATCGGGCAAACAAAGGGTAAACGGGTCAAAACGGCCGTCTCACCCGCCGGTTGTGCGTCGACCATGCACGAGGAAGTGCGCCAGTCGCAGGCCGCATGCGCGACTACCACGTGCGGCAGCTTCTGCGTAGTCGCAGGTCGACCGGTCTGGTTCATCACAGCTTGGCTCGGCTCGAGTTTGCGGTTCAGCTCCGGGTTTGTAGGCGACACGTGTCGTCGTCTCACTGGGGCTGCGTTGCTCTAGCCGATGATTGATGCCTGTTCGGTGCCTGCCGCGCCGCCCTTCGCCGCTCGCCGGCCGACACCGTCTCTTTGTTTTTCTTCTTCTCTCTCCTTTGCAATCCGTAACATAGTCATATTTCCGATTTTCATATCTTTTGATTCGGAGTTCTAATCGATATGATTTCTTCGGCAATGTTCTAGATCGTGTTATGGGCTATGTCTTGGTATTTTTTTCGTAATTTTTGCTTAACTACCGGACAAGTTAAGAGCATCGGAAGTTTGTTTACCGTTCTCAGATCTCTGCCATTGGATCGAGGTTTCAGCCAAACTTCTTCACAGATCATGTGTAGATTTATTCCTAGGTGAATATATCAACATTTTAGGACTCGATTCACATAGGAAAAGCTCTGATTTGAAAAATGTCATTCAGAATCTTACCTCACGAAACGTTCTTGGATCTTGACGGAGCGTCGGCTTCGCTAGCCTATCAGTCCTTGTATAGGTCTCGTTTGAAGGTGGATTCCGACAGTGGTCCGATGAACTTCGCGCCGACTCTTTTCTGTTTCCTCCCAATTTTCTCTCTTGCTTCTTTTTTTCTTTTGCCAGAGGTCCATGAGGTTTTACTTGATGGGCAAAATGACATTTTTGCCCCTCTGTTGACTTAGCCAATTTTCTTTTCTTTTTTTTTTTTCTTTCTTTTTTTTTTGGCGTTAGAGTAAAAGAGGGATCGTTGTTAGAAGAGACCATTCTTGTAAGTCATATTTCTAAATTTCTTGTTGTTGTCTAATTTCATTAATTTTTCTTACCATTATTTTGATTTGGGTTGGAGAAATAGATACCAAAAGTTCTCTGTGTTTTAGGTCTTTTTTTGTGAGGATCCATCCTAAAAATTTGGACAAAAATCTACCAAAATTGGGCAACAAGTAAATAGCGCCCAAACAATAGGTTTGAAGTTGAACCTTCTTCAGCTTTGGAACAACCCTTCGGTACGCACAAACTTGACCCACATCTACCGCTTAGCCCAAAGTCCACTCCTACACAGTTCATGCGCGTGAAGCCCAAGCTCATCCTCCCTCGGCCTAGGCCAAACTCCAACACCCAGTCAACAAGAAAACTGAAGAGAACTCCGACGAGAAAACCACGACTTAAAATCTCAATACTAGACGCCTATATCGACCAACCCACACTGCGAAGGTGACCACCAGCCTTAATACATCTAACCAGAGCAAACTCACACCGTGTCGTTGTTCCCGTTGCCGTCAAAGAAGGAAACAAGAAATCAATTTTTAAGAAATCTCTGATCTACCTCCTGTTGGTGACAACAGAAAACTGAAGTGAGATTGAGAGGAGGAGTGATTTGAATGACGGGGAGGGAGGTCCTTTTATAGGGGGATTCCTGGAGTTGGTTGAGATTTGTGTGGACGAAATTGAATCCACCTCCTCCTTCTCTTCGGCAGTAACTCATTCAACTCATTCAAACTCATTCAAACTCTATTATTAGCTTCAACACCCTCCCTTAAACTGAATTCTGCGGAAATCAGTTTAGGACTTCACTTCGTCATCTTGATATACATCTTGGATTCTGCACATTCCCATTTTTCTTCTAAGCTTCTCGAACAATGGTTGTTTTAAGGGCTTTGTGAATAGATCTGCGATTTGTTCATCACTTCGGTAAAAGTTGAGTTCAATAATGCCTTCTTTACACAAATCACGCAAGAAATGAAATCGAACATCGATGTGCTTGCTCCTTCCATGCAACACAGGATTTTTAGACAACTTAATAGTTGACATATTATCACAATATATAACCGTCGTACCTGGTTGCTTCTGATTAAGAATTTCAAGCATTTTTCTTAACCAAATTGATTGGCACGAGCATGCTGCTGCTGCCACAAATTCTGCTTCTGTAGTTGAGAGTGTTACAATAGGTTGCTTCTTTGAAGACCAGCAAATAGCTCCTGAACTCATCATGAAAATACTTCCTGAAGTACTTTTACGATCGTCTATATCACCTGCATAGTCACTATCTGTATAGCCAACCATCTTCGGATCATCTCCTTTCTTGTAGAATACCCCCAAATCAAAGGTTCCTCTCACATAACGAAGTATCCTTCTTGCTGCATTGAGATGTTTTTCCGTTGGATGCTCCATGTAACGACTTATCATACTAACCGCATACATGATGTCTGGTCTTGTTGAAGTTAGGTACATCAAACTTCCCACAATTTGTTTGAAGTACCTATTATCAACCTCTCGCCCGTCAATATCCTTGTGCAACTTTAAACCCAATTCTGATGGAGTTCCAAAGGTGCGCTCATCCAATTTAAACCTTTCAAGTAATTCTTGAGCATACTTCTTCTGACAGATAAAGTTACCTGCGGGAGTTTGAGTAACTTCTACTCCAAGAAAATATCTCATCAAGCCAAGATCCGTCATTTCAAATTCCTTCATCATGCTCTTCTTAAAAAATTCAAACATTTCTTCATTATTGCCAGTAAATATTAAATCATCAACGTATAAGCAAATAATGATAATGTTACCTCCCTTTTCAGTTTTCACATACAACGTATGTTCATACGGCCATTTAGTGAATCCCATCTTTTCAAAATGAGAATCAATGCGACTGTACCATGCCCTCGGAGCTTGCTTCAAACCGTACAAAGCTTTCTTCAACTTGTATACTTGTTCCTCTTTGCCTTTTTGAACAAAACCTTCTGGTTGCTCCACATATACTTCTTCTTGAAGCTCTCCATGTAAGAAGGCCGATTTCACATCAAGTTGATATATAGGCCAAGATTTCTGTGCTGCAATAGAAATTATGAGCCTGATAGTGTCTTGACGTGCCACTGGTGCAAATACCTCCTTATAATCAATTCCATACTTTTGCTTGTATCCTTTTGCAACAAGTCGCGCCTTGTACTTATCCACCTCACCGTTTTCATTCAACTTGGTTTTGAAAACCCATTTTACTCCAATTGTTTTCTGCCCTCTAGGAAGATCAGTGAGCTCCCACGTCTTGTTCTTCTCTATGGATTTGATTTCACTGTCCATAGCTTCCTTCCATTTCTTCTCCTTTACTGCTTCTTCATAGACAATTGGATCACTATCCATAAAGAATGTAAAATAACCACTATCACTTGATTCATAGTCCATCTCATAATCAATCATCCAGTTTGGTCTCTTTCTTGTTCTTGGATGTCTTTGATTATGATCATGATCTTCTTCTACTGGTTCTTCTTGTTGAGCTTATGAGCTCTCTCCATGCTCAAAGTGAGGCTGAATCGGGGCTTCCGTTTGTCCTTCTTCAAGATCTACAGGAATCTGCTGATTCACAGTGATCTTTTCTTCCCATGTCCAAGTCTTTTTTTCATCAAAGACTACATCACGACTTACCACCACCTTCTTTGTCAAAGGATCATA